TTGCTCAGATGGCTCTGAAACATCCGCGAAAAGCCATATTTTGCTTAAGAACCATTGAAGGTTGCTATTTTCAATAGAGGAACATAAAACCTTCGAAAAAAAAAGCGAAAATGTCTAATCAGCGTAACTTCAATGAATTGCTTTTCGAAATGCAGGAATTATAAGCATAAAGTTGGTACTCATGATTATGCAAATTAATCAGTATTGCCAGTTTGCACTGTGAGTAAACAAGAATGATGATTATCCAATAACAGGAGTGAAGCCAACAGATAACAATACGAGATGGGTTGAACAAGACAAGGAAAAGCGTGAGAAGATTGAAGCTTTGAAAGCGTTGGCTGCAACGAGTGGTGCATCCACCATTTCATTCATTGTTAAACCAGACTGTGAAGATATCGAAACGTGGTGTTCCAATCGCATGCATGACAAGTACATCGAATCGTTTGTGCAACAGGTTTTGCTCGCTATTTTTGCTTAAACATGAAGCAGACTTATCAAAAAATTTGCATGTTGAGTAGGAAGAAATTATATTAAATGTGAAATTAATAGCAATACAAACCTCGAATTCTTGCAAAGATTAACACGCCATCACTTGTGGAAAATGAATAAAGTAGCTTAACGGGCAGTGAATTAAAGTTAATGAGTCATAAATGAATGGGCTTGATAACTAGGCTCAGAAAACGAGTTTAGATGGAGGAGCGGATAAATGCTAGGGTTAGAAAGGAGGATGAATCGAGGAGCGCAAGAAGTACTAGAGTGCGTTAGGTAGTGAGTCAAGTTGAGGAGGAGCCGTTTTAACTTTCAGCATTGTTAGGTTTGGTGGCACAAATTTGCCTGGACTGAATCATAAGGTAAGATTAAATGAAATTTTGCTTGGGGCTGATTCAAAAAATCCATTGATCTCCTGGGAAAGAAGGTAAATATATGATAAATTTCAAATCAGGAGTTTATGGTAAATTTCAAATCAGATGTTTGTGTCTGGGTAGCTCACAGCTATGATCAGTCGAAGAGCGAATAAATGTAGCAGGAATCTATTGGAGATGAAGCTGAAAGTGGGTGCACTGCCTTGTGCCAGCGTTTCACTTTGCATGTAATTTTAGGTGACAGAGCGCCTACGGCACCTGGTTTCTTCGTTAGCTGTGCTGTCAAAACCACGGAATGACGAGCGGTCGCTAGCGAAAACTGAGAACGATATTCACGTGGCGTTTGCTGATGCGCAGCTGCCGAAGAATTGGCTTTCACGCGCTGAAATTGATAGGAAATTGAAAGCCTGGACGGAAGAGTCTAAATGCGCTTATGTGCACATCCGAGGAAACGAAGCCACCGGAAAAACAGCAATCATTTGTCAACTTCATGCACTGCTTGCAAAAAAGCGCTGCTATGTGATCACCAGGTTTGTTAACTCTTCTCTTACTGAAGCTAAATTATAGCTTCAGCAAAAAATGTACAAAAAAATAAATAGGTTTTGTTCGAAGCAATACTTGCTCTATTTAGCCTGAATTAAAACTCACGATCTCTTGTTGTAGCGCAGCGAGCTATGGAGTGTGATTTGGAGGTGTCATTTCGAATCATCAAACAATTCTATCCTTTGAATTTTCTGCCTTTAGTTGAACTATAGTCCCAAATAACAAAATTAGGGCGAATTTGTCTTCAAGATCGCAGATTATATGCAGAGCGTGATGTGCACTGGAATCGGGTTTGTTGCCTTGCAAGAGGCTGAAGGTTCTACATAGTTTCGGAGCTGAGCCATTTGGACATGCACATCAACACATTCAATAAAAATTACCTCTGGTATAGCACTTATTTTTAGATTTGTTAATTTGACACATGAATCGGAATATGCGCACGAACTCTGGCATGGTATATGTATGACGCTATGCCTGCTATCAGAGCAGGACAGAAAGCCGTTGTTAAGCTCATTTCACTTATCATCGACACTTTCAATATTCAAATCACTGTTGCAAAAGCTAGATCGACCTGCATTTGTGCTTATCGATGATGCTAACTTGATCAAATATGGGCGGATTCTCAGCATTCTGGATAAGCCGTTCAGGAAATGTTTATCAAATCTTGTGTTAATTGCTACGTCAAATTCATCGACAACAATTCCATTCATGCCAAATCCCATACTATTTGAATTA